GGCCGGGTTGGCGAAGGCGTCGGTGGAGGTGTTGGAGCGGACGAAGGGGGAGATTATGGGGTTTGTGGAGGGGAAGGATCGCGGGGAGGGGGTGATTGGGGTAAAGGTTGAGAAGGAGGATGGGGAGGAGAAGAGAAAAGAGATGGAGGAGTTTGAAAAGCAGCAGCGGGATCGCGTGCTCAAGAAGGCTGTGGGGATTGAGATGAAGCTTGCGGAGCTGTACTCGAGCGATTATATCCAGGATGAGAAGAAGGCGGAGGAGGCGCAGGTTGCGGCGGTGGAGTTGTGTTTGAAGGAGTTGCATCGGCGCCAGAGTCTGGGCCTCCCTGTTGGTGGCGGGCTAGAGGCGGATAACACTGAGGGGTGGTTGAATGTCACGGAGATCGCGACGGCGTTGACGGATCTGGCGGGCCGGTATACGGCGCAGGAGAATTATGAGCTTTCTATTCCGCTGCAGATGCGGGCGCTGGATCTGCTCCATACCGAGGAAGGGGATGCGCCGACGTGTAAGCAGGTTGTGCTGCTGAATAGTGTTGCTGGGTGCATGGCTGGACAGGCGCAGAAGCCCATTCGGGCTGAGGACCCCAAGAAGGCCAGGGAGCAGCTGTTTGATGCTGCTCAGAAGTGGGCGCAGAAGGCGATTGACGTTGCGGCGAAGATTCAGCCGCCGGTTCGGGATGAGGAGTGTGATACTTCTTGCGTGGCGGCGACCTTTAACCTGGGTTGGCTGGCGGAGTTCCAGGGTAAGGCGAAGGAGGCCGAGAGGCTCTACGGAGAAGCCAAGTCGCTGTCGCAGGGTCTGGGCTTTGAACAGGGCGTTTCTATGGCCGATGCTGCTCTGAAGAGGCTCACGAAGAACTAAATCAGCGGAGACCTTCTGTACCATAGACCACATGTACAATATGATATAGCAAGTGTATGGATAGATGGGTAGACAGGACGGGCAGTCTCTTCTACTTGTACGGATACGGCAGTGACATAGATATAGTACGATCACCTTACCCTAGTGGATCAGCCCCAGCAGTGCGTTTTAAGGTATTTTTTGTCTTTGTATTAGAACATGGCATGTCTTCCTTTACAAGATCCCAGACAGTCGGATTTTATGAATCGAGTAAGCTAGACATGTTTAGAAAAACCTCGGGTCCGGTTAAGGAACACCGAAGTGCTTCATTGCTCGTGGCTCATACATCCCAACCAATGCCTGCCCTTTTTTGTTAAGGAAAAATAAAAAACAAAATAGTTATCTTCCTCTCATGTCCCTCACCGATGGGTATTCATCATTTATGCCCTCGACATGACACCCCAGGCACGGATCTTGTTGTCAGTGTAACCAGCGAAGAGAGTCTGGCCGTCAGCGCTCCAGGCCAAGCTGACACACTCGGGCTCGCGGCTCTTCTTGCCCTTCTCGATGTACTCGGGCTTGAGCTCATCAACCTTGCTCTTCTTCTCGAGGTCGAAGATGGTGATGCTGCTGGCGGTGGCAGCGCAGAGCCAGTAGCGGTTGGGGGAGAAGACGAGAGCGTGGATCTCATCGCCGGCGTGGAGGGAGTAGAGGTGCTTGGACTCGTTGAGATCCCAGAGCATGGTGGTACCGTCCTTGCCACCGGAGGCGCAGAGGGAGCCATCGGGGGAGATGGTGACGGTGTTGATGTAGCCGGAGTGACCGATGTGATCGGTCTGGAGGCGGCAGGAGGCGAGCTCCCAAACCTAGTAACACAGTTCAGATTAGCTGTGAACACACTTTTCCACGTGCAGATGCAGAGATATAGCATTCAAGTGTTGGTCGTTCATCAGGGTATAGGTGATTGTTGGTCTCATGGCCATAAGGCTCTGAAGTAGCAAATACGTTTTATACAGAAACATCATTTGAACCGATCGAATTCGGTAAAGGGTAGAAGGAAACTGCTTGATGCGTACCTTGACGAGCTTGTCCCAGCCAGCGGAGACGATGACAGGGTTCTGGGGGTTGGGGCTGAAGCGGACGCAGGAGACCCAGTCGGTGTGGCCCTTGTCGGTGATGGTGAACTTGCAGTCACCGAGGGTGTTCCAGAGCTTGATGCTGCGGTCACGGGAAGCGGAGACAATCTGGCGGTTGTCGGCGGAGAAGGAGACGGAGAGGACGTCGTTGGTGTGGCCAACGAAGGTACGGGTGGTCTCGCCGGTAGCGAGCTCCCAGAGGCGGAGAGACTTGTCCCAAGAGGCGGACAGAGCGTAGGCACCGTCGGAGGAGATCACCTATTGAGTTCGCAAAATCCACTGGTCAGCCGAACTTCCTTTCGCACTAAGTTCCCCGCGATATCCACGGTCTTCGCAAGGGTCCGGTATGCATACACAGTCAGAGACGATGTGAGAGTGACCCTCGAGGCTGCGCTTGGGGTAACCGTAGGCCTGCTCGTCGCGGGTAAGGTTCCAGATGATCAGGGTCTTATCGCGACTGCCAGAGAGCAGCATGTTGGGGCTAGAGTCGGAGAAAGAATCAAGTCAGAAACCATTTTATCCAAAATCAATCAACCAATGCCATTTCTTGAATTTCTTCATCGCTGAAGATCTTCACACATCTTTCTTTTATGGCTTCAAATTTTTTCTTTCTTGTCTTTGATATCGGATCCGGAATTCCCTTACTTCTCCAAAGAGGTAGCCAGGGAAGTAACCCAGCCATTGTGACCCTCGAGGGTACCGCGAAGGACCAGCTGCTCAGCCATGATGACGATGGTAGGGGACCGCGAGAGGGAGAGAGGATGAACGCGGGCGGAGCAATTGTCGTTGACTCTGAGGTAAAATCCCAGCGTTCGAAGATGGAGGAGCAGAGTCGGCGTGCCCGCCTAAGCCCTAACTGCCTTACCGCCCTCTGTGTGCGAGGTCACATGGAACCCTAACATAAGCGAGTCACGTGTGGACGGTTGGTTTTCTTGGTTTCTGGTTCCGATCAGAGTGGGTCCTCGAACAATATAATGCCATTCGCTGTCGGGATCTTTAAGAGATGGAGCTTCTATATTGCCTCATTGGTCATGTACTCTACACCTCTATACATCTCGTCATGAATGATTTGTCAATCACTGACAACGTACTGCCTTCCTGACACACTTACACCAATACAATACAGTCTTCCTGGTTGATTTATCCACTCAATACTCATTGACCAGTAGTAGAACTCTTGTCAATGACGGTTTAGGGCATGAACCATCTATCACAAACAGGCATTGTAGCTCGACGAAAGGCTGTGGCTAAAAGTACATCAGGGGCTATACAGACATACTCATCGCATACTGAATGGATACCGACGGTCATGTATCTACCAGCTATCTATTATACTTTACAGCCTGTCTGTACAGTACATGCGCCAGATACATACCTCACTCCAACAACACATTTACAGAGCCTACGAGAAACAAGATAACGAAAGGAATCCAACCCAGAAAATGCATAAATTCTCTACACAAACTAACCATATAGTACAAGCCCAACCCAGCATGCTTTTATACAAACCTCTTTCTATACAGGACGCAAATCACCATCACGAATCAAACACCTGAACATTCGGCATGCGGCCAAGTCCCGCACCACCCGTCTTCTTACTCTTCGCAGCATGGAACCCAGTAGCACTGTTATCCTGGACATGCTGTCTGAGCAGGCGCAAGACCTCCGACTCAGCCCAGCGAGACGGCACGGGCCGGTAAGCAGCCTTGTAGGCACCGACCGTCTGGGCCCATTCGCCGCTCTTAGCCCCAGTGCGCTTCCAGGTCTCGGTGGGGGTATCCTCAGCGACATTGCCTTCGGTGGGAGGATCCTGCGTGGCCCAGTAGTAGATATCCCAGTCATTCTCGTCGAGGAACCGGTCGTACTCCTGGAGCTCCTCCTTGTTCATCTTGGAAAGATAAACATCGGCAAAGGTGGAAAGCAACAAATCGGACTCGAGGATTCCTCGCTTCCGGCTCTGATCTGTTCCATGCACCCATATCAGTCCCCGGAAATGAATTAGTAATACGAGAGAAAGGGTACACTCACATAACAACCGGGCCCTTATAGTAGTAACATCCTCCCCAGTCCGCTTCAGCGGCTCAACCTTAAATGTTATACCCTCCATCTCACCCACACCCAGCTCTGGCTTCTGCGCGCCCGTCTCCTGGCGGCCACCCGTGAAATGCTCAACCTTTCCGGGGTAGGCAGGGCGGCTGTTATCGTCTTTGGGACGAATTGCCGAGCTGCCGAAGGAGCGACGGACGAGGGTTGTTCTGGGGAAGAATTGCGACGTTGAGGGTCGCGCGAAGCGCTGGATGAGTCTTGGGGCAGACATGGTGGCTCTGCTGGTGTGTTTATTGCAGGAGAGCTGTGTAGGAGGGAATTGTCGCTGGGGAGGATCGGAATTGTTTCTTCGTTTGTCATGACGGGATTGACATCATCCGGAGATTGGGGAGGGTTTGTTTGTTGTGTTTGCATGCTCTAAACACAGCCAACCGGGGTTGTGCATTACAAAGATTATATTGAATCGCAGGGAGGCGGCTATGCACATGGTACATATGTACAATATGTACTGATGACTTGGTCTTTTGAAGTCGGAGTAATCCATTACATCATCCCCAGTTGTCTAACGCTATCATAGGATCATAAAAGTATTCAAACAGTATACCGTGAGATATATCCGAGACTACATAAAGTCGAGACCACACTCGACAGATGCATAGAACTCCGTATTTTGTCATGAGAACAAGGAAACTACAACGCAAAGTGCCTTTCCGCTCAGTCCAGGCACTTCGAAACAGGGGCCTTCTAGATAAGATGCTTGGATCTGCAAGTGGTCGAAGCCGTCAGTCAAGTTGTAACCATCTGCAACCAGAAATACATACCTGAAGTAAGCCCGCAGATAAATGACCTGCCAAACACCCAATCCAATCAACATTCCCATTGTGCCAAACGCAAACCATTTCACACGCTCGTTGGTGCTCTCGTTGGTGTCGCGCAGCTTCTGTTCACGCGCACGCAGGTATTCCATTTCGCTGACGATTTCTTGCACCATCTCCTCAATGCGACGGAGATCAGTTTCGAGGGGCTTAAGCTTCTCATGGTCCTGGATGCTAGACCAGTCACGAGCATCGGCGCCAATGTCGACATCGAGTTCAATCGACCGATAGGGGTTCGCAACACCGGCTGCTCAAAAAAATCAGAAAAGCAATCCAACAATCGAATGCTATCGACAAGATACGGGCGAAAAGAATGATGGCCAAAGGCAAGGGCAGGTAGATGACATACACCGTCCTTCAAGCTTGTTCTCGAAGCAGACATCGAAAGCAGTATCCTCCGAAGAAGTGAATGTTTGGCGAGTCTCGCCTACAACATCCCTCGGGCGACCGTGGTCATTGCCCAGGGCATCTTTGATCTAGATTCCGGAAAGACGATTAGCAAATCCGCTCCGATTCAATCCAGCCCGACCAACACTAGTCCGGTGAAGCGGACTTCACGATTCACCGCAAATCACCATTGACCGAAAATAGGGGCACAATGCGACATACATGCATGTTGACCTTCTGTCCATCGCCCTTCTGACCGCTCACAATAGCTGTGACGACGACAAGCTGATCCTTGAAGACGAAGTTGCGGATGCATCGCTCGTTCTTTCCGCTCACGGCGGGCAGGTCGAATTTCAACGCGGCGGAAATCTGGACAAGACACAGGAATAAGATCCCGAGGATAGACTTCATGGTAGGTTGTGACGTCCCCATTGTCGAAACTAGATTGTCGCTGTGGTCGACAGTGAGGTCTTGGAAATTGACAACAAAGCTCGGGAGCTGCCATTGATGCCACGCCGCGCTCAAGGGTTCCGGAGCTGTCGGGAGAACAATGTTCCGCTGTCAATCAACCGCACGCTTTAAGAACAGATATTGATCTCCCCGTAGTATGGTTATCTTAAAAAGTACTTGAGTCATTTGAATACGTCTACAATTGTTGTAAGGCCTTGGAAATTTTGAAATAAGATTAAGGAAATTAGTCATTGTGTGGCTAGCAGCTTCTTGATATCATGTACGGTCCGCCATTTAGCTTATGGTAGTAAACGCATAACACGGCTTCCCAGGGGAATAGGTTGCAACAAAGAAGAAAGAAAAGAAAAGAAAACAATGTCCCGATCTTAGAAAATTGAAGGCAGGATATCATTCGTTCCAAATCCCATAAAGTCGAACACGACGGGAGTACAAACTCAACAGGACAAAGTGGTATATGGATAAGGAGAAGGCCAACAATTGTTGTACCAAATCAACGATGGGAATAAGGAAAATATATGGAAGGGAACTCGTTCACCCATGGCCCAGATATCAAGGCTGTGGGGTTTTGACCCGTAGACCAAGGTAGTATGGAAAGGGAAAACCTGAATCAAACGACAGGATGGATCGTCACATGGCTTAAAACGCTCCTAAAGAAAAAGAGAAGATGAAGGCAAGGGCATTTTTAACGAACACGTGGGCTAATTGACTTGGGAACGGAGATAAGGAAATGAGAGAGTGAGGGAAATAGACAAGGCATTAAATAGGTTTACAAAATGGCACTAGACCTCGAGTTTCTTCCGGCGCCCGAAAAGGCGAGAGAGGCTATTCACACCGGATTCTCTACCCTTCGAAGCCAGTGATGAGGACACTCGAGGTGCAGGAGGCTCAGGAGGTCCCGTCGACCTGAGGAATTCAGCCAGGGCACTAGTCTCTGTTTGCCGGTCTGTGACGGAGGGAAGGCCGCTAGTTCCATACATTGCGCCTCTGCTCCTCTCGGCGCCAACTTTAGCTGAATAGTTAGATTGCGCTGTAGCATAGCTGTCCTGCTGTTGATGGAAAGAAGCCTTTGATAGTTTCGTAGTTGGCACCTTGTCCCCCGATGCATTGCGAAGAAGTCGCGCCTTCATTCCAAACGCACCGGATGAGCTCTTGGAGGGCATTGTGTTGACCGCCAGTGGCTGCGGAGTGGGCTCCGACTCCGGAGGAGGAACGTTGCGCAAAAAATCTAGCAAGCTTTCCTCCTCTCGCTTGGGCTTCGGGCCGTCCAAGAGCTCGTCAAGGTCCTCATCGTCATCTGAGTCAATGGCGTAGGGATCTGGCACCCTACGTTGTTTCCGCACAGGACGAGGGTCGTCCACTGGAGTTGCTTGGATGTGCTGAGCAGCAGCTGGGTGCACGGTAGTTCGGTTGCCCGTCTCCAGTAGCCCTGTGCGAGACCCGACGGAAGTCAGCATTGATCCGTCTTGCGTGCTAGATACCGATGGCGCATTGTTTTCGGAGTGGCCAGTTTCCAGCGAGTTCAACTCGTCTGAATCCATGGTGTCCCGGAACGGTGCAACCGCACGTGGAATGCGGCGTGCCCCTGCAGTAGGTGGACCTTCACGAATGAAGTCGATCAACTCGGTTGTCCGGTCTTGATCCGCTTTTGAACTAACTGCTGAACGGGCCTCCATCTTAGGGCCACTGCGAACTGTGCTCGACGGGGATCGTGGGGTACTGAGGGGACTGCCTGGGCCGGGCGACTTAGTAGAGTGATCGTAATCACTGGACGACCTAATATTTGGTTTCCGGTCGGCAGCTTGTTCCGGGTTTGATGTCTGTTGCGAAAGTGCAGTCGAGGGTATCTCAATAGCTTTGTATTTGGGTGTGCTAATAGTTCCCCTGGAAGACGTGTGAGAGGTGCTAGGACGTGGAACTTCCTCCCCGGGAGGGGCGCTATTCTTCAAGAACTCAGCAAGGTCCGCAGTGCTCGACTTGACTCTCCAGCGGGGTGAGTCAGGTTCCTATAGGACAATATTTATTAGTCGACGAACTCAAAGAAAAAAAGAGAGAGAAAGAGTAAGAAAGTAAATAAAACATACTTCAATTTCCCGCATATTTTTCGGGGTTAGGGTATAATGGAGAGTTTCCTCGCTGCGGATCAATTCGTCCAAGCCGGTCGTGTCGTCATACGGCTCACCAGCGAATGGATTAGTCTCGCAGGAGTTGCGCAGGCGAAGTGAAACAGAATCCCCCTGAAGACCAATGAGACCTTTCAGCCTGCTTGAAACCTGAGAAGTGGTCGACCCTGCAGTTACTGGGCGTTTCTCACGTTGGCTACTAAAACTGTCGGAGCGACGCGATCTGGAATAGACGGAAGAGGCTGCTGAAGTGGTCGGTCGGACGACACGCTGAACCGCTGCACGTTCAGTCACCGAACTTATCGAGGATACCCCTGAACTTGAACGGCCGTAACGATGTTGACTTATACCCACCAAGGGGCTTGGTCTAGGTCGAGTCCGCGAACGGTCAGAATAAACACTTTCTTCAGAAGTGGAAGGCGGGCGAGAGATCTTCTCTTCCAGGTCAGTCGAAGTCCGAGTCTGAGGGACCGATAACTCTGTCGAAGCTGTTTTCGTATCAGAATTCTTTGAAACATCGTGACTGATGGCAGGCTGCGCCGGGGTGGAGTCGTCCCCTTGCGTTTGTGACGGATCATCGACCACTGTTGGTATCGTTTGTTCGCTGATCACTCGGGTGGTAGTCGACCTGTCATTTTCGCGATCTGTGTCCCGGCTACTGATACGCTTCGGTCGCTGTATCGGAGCCAATTTGGGTTTTTCACACATTCCCTGTCCTTCAATCACCTCCGTATCGGAATCGGTCTGGAGACGATCGCTCAGAGACGTTGACGAACCCGAAGTACTACTGGCTTGACTCGACTCTACCCCCACCGACACGGCAGATTGTGACGACGTAGCCATCCTATCCTGCTCCAGCGATTCCTTCGGTAGATCATCTGCCTCTGATGCCTTTGGCTCAACTTTGGCCTTGGGAACCTCATCATCCTCATCGTGTTCGTACATGGTTTCCAGTGGCTTTTGTTCGTCGGATGCGGTGGGCGATGGCTGGTCGGCAGTTTGGTCAGCGTCTACCGGCTCCTGAGGGGTACTATCGGGCAACGACTTCGCGCGGACATGACGACTGAACTTTGCGCTCAGTGGGGTGATAGGGGATGTGGGAGATCTTGGTGATGGCAGGGTCAGCACCATCAGGCTATGGGGTCGCACTTTGTGAGCCACTACTGCCTGCATGGTCTGGACGACCTCAGCACCTTCACCATCAGACGTGAAACCTTCGATCTCTTCAACATCGTGGTCGCCAATTGGGAGTGCAACAGAAGCCGGGTCAACCTCTTTCGGGATCTCGATGATCGGTCTTTGTGGCAGCTCATCCCCGGTAACCATACTGTTCTTCCGACACGATGAAGGACCAATTGTTGAACGGCGTCGGATAGACTCTCGAGAAACCGCTCGGGACATCATAGGGGACCGAGTGTACCTGCGCCACGTGCGCCAAAGACGACCCATGGTTGGGTTCAATGCTAATTTCTCCATATCCAGGTCCTCCACGACTAACCGGTTGATGGTGCCTCGTTCTGCGCCAGGCTCTGCCTCCTCGGGACCCTCACTCGGTTTGACGGATAGTCGTGACCGAGCTGTTTCGCCCGCTATCACCAAGGCCTGTTCACCAATATGCTCGATGATGGAGGTCAGGAAGATGGCAGCCGGCGGCGTAATATTTCCTACATGCGTAGAAAACCTCGGCGAGAGACTACCGTCATCATCCAACCCATTCTGTGCGATATACTCCTCCTCGTCATCTTCTTCCATATCTCCCAGCCGGGTATAGACCATACAGCGCAAGCGAGTCAATTTCCAGGATCGGACCAGGTCGAAATCATCGTTTTGAGACATCCCCCGACCGAACTGGAACTGCTCATCCTCCGGACCACCCATATATTCGTTCAACTCCTCATCTGCCGCAGAGACCACTTGGTTTGCGAGTCGCGGTTTTAACACATCCGCCACCGCAGGTCGAATACATGCTAGTTGCGTTGACTTCGCAGCCGCCAGAATATTGAAGAGAAGATGGTCCAGGAATCCATTCAGAGCTGAAAGAGCTTCGGGGGTAACAATCGCTTTGGCATCCGAATCACCGCCATCTTCCGCCACGAAGTCCGCAGTATTGAATTCTTGGTCAGCGGTGACGATCTGAGCGGCGGACGAAGGTGCAATGAAGGACGGCGGAGGATTCGCTGCTGGCGGGGTCATGTGAATGCGAGGATGCGAATCGCTCGACATGCTGTTACTCCGGGAGCGTGAGGCCGTTCGCCCCATGTCGGACTCTGAACGTTTTGTATGCAGCATTGTCGATCTGAGGGATCATATGCACCTGGCGGGGCTGCGCAAATCCGGGGTTCGGCGTGTGGCGGTGACGTATTTTGATCTTTTTGTTTTCTTCTTATTGTTATTGAATCTGGGAAACCTGGATCATCCTGGAACGGTGAAACCATGCAATTTCGTCAGCCTTGTGGTCAATTGTGCAGCCCGCCTTCCGATCACTTTTGCGATGACGGGGATGTAGCATGCGAGCTGACGGCATCAGGCCGTTCACGGGGCGTACTGAAGCTCAGGGTGATTCTCAAGGCGAACATGGGGGGTAAAAAGAAGGAAGTATTCAAGTGGAAATGCTGAAAAAACGTTGGACCGGTATTCAGACATACCCGTGTAACAAGTTCAAAAGCTCTTCACATTCATTTCGTTAGTGTACTCCGTACCGTTGGAATAGTTCCGAGGAACAGATCAGTCATTAGAAAGGTGAACCGTAGCAGACAGACGATGTGTATCCGATCCCAGGGCCAGGGAACGCCGTAGAAAAAGGAGAAGGAGAAGGAGGCGACAGTGAAGAAAGAACGAGAGAAAGAGAAAGAACACAAGTGCCGTCTTCTGCCATCCGGAGGCAGATCAGGAGTACTAAACCAAGGCTAAGGTCGTAGTAACGGCGGAGAACTTTAGTAAACAAGTCTAATACGGAGCACACCACCGTATTAGAATTCTTTATTATTAGTCTCGTCCCCATGAATTTAATTTTAATTAGAATTTATTTTATTAGTATGACTACGACTCTGGCCCAATTTTTTTATTTAATTTTTTCTTTTTCTTTTTCATTTGGCGGAAATACTAAGGTTGACTGCCCATTGAAGTTTAGCGAGGCTGCAGGATCAGGAGAGACGGAAAAGTGGAGACGCACGATGGCGCATCCTCTTTGGGATCCGTGGGTGGAGCCAACAAGTACCTGACTAGTCGCTTTCTTTCTAGTCAACTGCACTAGTCTAACCTGAATGTTACAGGGTCAGTCTTAGTCTACTACTATGTATGTACTAGTAGTAGGTACTGAATACATACACTGTGACCAAGGTGTCTCGTCATTGCTCAAACCCAAGAAAGCCCTTACGACACTCCCGTGTCTCTGCCTCTTAGTGCCAAACACTGATCTCACTCTTGACATGAGCCAACTGGTGTCATCCAATTGATTCTATTCATCCTTGCCACTCGTCGGAGTACTTCTCCGGGACGGGATATCCCCGTCAACCCGTGCAAGAACCCTCCGATAGTGTTCTGATAAGCAGTCAATCGTTCCATGGTTCTTTTGGTCACCATTCTGAGGCGATAACCCGACAAGTTACTGCGATAGGCAAGCCCTGCGAAGAGAAAGAAGCCCAAAGGAAGACCAAAATAAGGTCAAGATGACACTGAGACGGAAACGATCTCCATCCCGAGAAAACTAACGAAAGAAAAAGGCCCCCACTTAGTCTTCCGTCCCAAGCCCCCTGAAGAGCCAATCCGATTGGGGTTTACCCGTCCCAGCTCCCAGGGTCAGGGGGGCGAAACCACCAGAAAAGGAGCCGAAAAAAGAAATAGAAAAAAGAAAAACGAAAACGAAACAGGGAAAAAAGTAAGAAGACGGCCCGGCAAGGATTTCACCGTGTTTCAAGTCTGTATTAAATCTAGTATCTGTATCTCTCTGTAAGTTCTGGGGGATCATCATCTTGACTTTTTTTTCGGTTCTGTCCGGCTCTTCACCATGCTGAGGTGAGAGAAATAATTGCGTCCCTAACGTATCTATTCTTGCCTGACGACCGCGCACGAGATGGTCCGCCTCGTGCCCTCATTATCATTCCCTATTTTTTCTCTCCGGATCGGCTCTTGCACACGCAGTACTGGACCACCGACTCTCCATCCAAAGTTAGTTTCCCAAACTATTGGAGCTGATCCAATCGTGGCCCAAATTCGCAATGCCACTTGGGGGAGGAAAAGAGGCTGATCCACCTGACACTATTGTTCCTCCTTATCCATGCCCTGCTGTGAGATCATTTGATTGGATGTACCCTCCATCAGTATTTCCTCCGACTCTGTGTTCTCCTTTTTTATTAGTCGTCTTTTGTCTCCCCTTTTAATCCACCGACCCGCCACTTGATACTCCATACACCACTATATACCGAATACTCCATATAGTACCAAGTTAAAAAAGAAAGAAAGAAAGAAAGAAAGAAAGAAAGAAAGAAAGAAAGAAAGAAAGAAAGAAAGAAAGAAAGAAAGAAAGAAAGAAAGAAAGAAAACCGAGACGATGCAAACCAAACGCACCGGAAATAAAGGGACGATCATGACAGCACGCCCGAGCACCAGAAACGGGGCACAGGTCAACACTTCCCCATACGGGGCACCGAGCTTACTCGACGGCAACCAAAGCCGTGACCGCTTAAAGCTGTCGAAATATACCCTGACATGGCACGGGCTTCCTTGATAAAGCAAAACATCCTTGATTCGAATCCATCCGTCCAATCCACGCCGGAAACTGGCCAGAGCCCTGCCGATATGAACCCACTAAGTTATCTAAGTTGGGACCCCTCCTCCCAGAGATTGATGATATTATTCGGCAGTTACAACTTCCAAGATCGAAAAGACAAAAAAGACAAAGCCCCGTCCAATTTCGGGGGAATGAATTTCATACCAAAGGGTGTGTGTGGACTAAACTTCTGTTGATGGCGGGTAGACTAATGCCGTATCTCCATTCGTGGGTCGTTCGTTTTTCTCCAGCGGGGTTCAACGTAATTTCCATGGTTGATGGTGACAGGTTCATTCAGATTGGATTAATCAACTAGATCATGGGATGAGTAAAGTGATCTCAGCTGAGATCAGCTCAGCCAACATCGTTCGAACTGGTGTGGTAAGCTGAGCAAGAAAGTATACTCCGGATGAACTATATCTGATGTACATTACTAGTACGTAGTCACCTCAGTAGGGCATGTACCGAAGGAGTCCCCACGATGGAGACGATAGGGCACGGAGTACTCCGGACCTACATGACTCGAGCAGTCGATCAAATTTCCCAGGAACCACTGGGAAAGACCGAACCACCCAATCTATACCCATGTACATACGTACGCAATGCTAGTATAACCCCGGAGTACAGTAGTGGTAGTAGTCGTCATGTACATGCCTACTACCCATCGCCCATAAAGTACTCCGTACGGAGTACCGATACATTCCTTCAGGTAGAACCGCAGGATTCCGATCCCAGCACACCCACCAATGTAAAACACATCTGAATCAGCCCACGGCCGTCGTCTCACGATGGACCAGGATGTCGGATCCCTGCATGCATGAGCTCGGCTCCACCCTGCCTGCCTGGCCCAGATGATACTAAAATCGTCCGGCCCCCAGAAAAAAAAATAAAAAAACAAAAAAAAAAAAAAACAATAACAGAACTGTTTGATTACGTCTCGGGCTAGCCCTAGCCTTTCTGCCTATTATTGCTCTTTTTCTTTTTTTTTTGCTTTTGAGGTTCGAACATCTAGAATCTTACTCGCATATCATGTACTAGTCAGGTTGCACTATCGGATATCGTGGCGTTGGAGGGCCCAGATGATCACGGTGCCGTTTGTAGGTTTCAGTATTTACATGCGCAGGGTTGGGGGCGTATGCAGTTTGGACTCTGGGGGCGGTGCAAGATATTTCTGTCCATGTTGGGAATGGTTTGCATGATTCCCATATTTGATATTTATGGATGTTGTGGCTTGTGGCTTTCAATCTGTGGATAGGACGTGCCTGGCAATAGGTTATGGCAGTGCTGTCTTGAGATCAATGGGGACTACCTAGTAGCCTCATTATGTTTTTGTCGGTCCACATCTGTCATTGGTCATGTCCATATTTTAGGAACTCTGATACTGTCGCCTCTTCGTGCGGTCGTAAAGACAGACTCAGGGGATCAGAAAAACAACCTTTGATCCTGGGGATGATCGCTTACAACCAAGAGAAATGCGACGGACTACATAAGGAGGCAATCGAAGTTATCCTCCTTATCTTGGCCTCGTGGTTGAAAAGAGAGTCATGTGGATATACCCATAGGGTTGAATGGTGGCCACGCCCAGTGAAACTCAAATGTTTTAAAATGGAATAGATTAACCCGCTAGATAAAGCTTTTGTAAATCGCTATAGACAAACCAAATAAATTTCCATATTTCCGTGCCAGACTTTTATATCACGTTGGCTTCGTTTTTCCTGCACGGAAGCCTTTCCTTGCTCGTAAATCATTTCAATGGACCATATAGGGTTTCCAGTTTTCGAGGGCATATGCAACGCCCCCAGCAAAAAAGCTCAGTTCATCATGTCCGATCTTGACATCACTGGCCAATCTTTCGGAGAGAAGGACCTCAATCTTCTTCAATAAACTCAAGTTAAGACTCTCACGGGTCGCGGCCGGCTGCTCCAGCGCCCCCTTTTCTTCGCTGAGGCTTAGCAGCTCATCAAACTCCTGCTTGGCAATGAGGTTGGGAAATGTTCCAATCACATGGTTGAGAGCATGATCGAGGTAAACTCCATCGACATTATCGGCTTCCAGGTACGGTGATTTCACACGACCCATCTTTATGTCGCCAACCCGCGCGTGAAGGCGGGACTTGTAGCCGGGGTTAGCGATCCCGTTGATGCCATTCATATAGGCGATGAAAAGACGCTTGTCTAAGTCCACCACATCGCTGGGATGTTCTTCAGGCAACTGCTTGATGGAGTCACTGATACTGCCATGTTCGGGGTCTTCGACATCGTCGCCGATATCATTTCCCTCCTGTATCTGGAGGCTGCCAGATGCCCGCGCCATCTCCATTAGTTCATGGCAGGTCAATTCAGTACAAGGTGCTTCTTCTTCTTCTTCTTGGAGTTCTGGCGCTTCAATATAGAGCACGTTGGTATCAAACCTAACGTTGTTCGACCCAAAGGAAATAAATGAGCCATCGGCCGAGTCATCGTCATAATCATAGTCATTGTCATCGTCTTCGCTGTATTCGGACATAGAGTCCGATTCATCT